CTCTCTCTCTCTCTCTCTCTCTCTCTCTCTCTCTCTCTCCTCTTCCCTTCCTCCCTCCTCTCCCTCCCCCCTCCCTCCCTCTCTCCCTCCCTCCTTCCTTCCTTCCTTCTTCCTTCCCTTTCTCTCTTTATGAACACCTTGCTCTAAAAGGCCTGTAGGGCGGCACAAGGAGCACTAGCGAGTGCTCACTCACTCGTCGCGCCAGCTCCTGGGTGCAGGGGAAGGTCCGCGCTGGCTGCACGGCCTACATCCCGGGGGCGGAGAGAGTGAGGAACTGCGACCGCTTCCAATAGCGTTTTGGTGACAATACGAAGAAAGCGAAGCAGATAGGAAGGGTAGGCAAGGGTGGAAGAACTTTCTAGAAAGTAATGATGGGATCGGGGGAATTGAAGCTCTAGCTAGAAATGGGTCATGTTCCTGTGGGAAAGATATCCCTCACTGCAAAGCCCTGGGTGGACAGTCCCCGCTCGGCCTCCGGGGTGCGAGGCCAGGGCGGGGCAGGGGCGTGGGGCCCGGGGCTTAACGCTCTCAGGTTGCTGTCTTGAAGCGTGTAATAATTTTCTCCCTGAATTTCTGTTTGAAAGTGCAGTCTGTTGGGACAGTGGCCCACTGCACCAGGGGCTTGGAGCCTCGACTCACACTTGGTGGTGTGCCTCCAGGACGGGGTCTTGACTGTCCACTTCCTGGCCCCTGATATGCACACTCCACCTGCAGGGCAGCTGCGAGGTGAAGGGTCTCAGCATCTAAGGGGGTCTGCACTGTCCGAGAGTGTCCCCCATCCCAGGAAGCGTGACATTAAATAGGTTAAAGAAACAAAAAAAAACCAAACAAACAAAACAAACAAACAATGTCCTGATAGGTCTAAAGGGACACCACAGAAGAAGGGGAAAAGCTTTCTGCCCGCTTTCCTGAGCAAGCAATCCTGCCTTTTGTGTAGCCGGCCCAGTTCGTGCTAAGTGCTGCCCCGGGCCCTGTGCAGACCGCAAAGACAGAGCTGCTTTCCTGGTAGCTGCCTCTCCCCTGCTCCGTCCATTCACCCATCCACTCATCTATCAGCCGTGCATGAAGCTCTGAGGTTGGCTGGGTGCAGGTGACCACTGGGGAGTCAAAGCCAGCTAGGGCATCCGCTGTCCCGGGAGCTGACACGCCCCCACATGTCACAGTCAGGCTGGGAGCCAAAATGATTGTAGTCTCCCTCTGCAAGGATCCAACCGAGCATTAATTCCAAGTTAGGTGTCACACAGGATATAAATCACGGACGAAGCAGAAAACAGGAGTTTGAAAAAAACAGGCCTTTTCTCTAGCTGGGCTGAGAGCTCTGTATGAGCAGGCTATTCTTTAAATTTGACTTTCGTTTCCCAAGGTTAGTATTTAATTCTCTTTTAACCACATCCTTGCAGAAAAGTCTATTTCTACTGTGGATTTAAGGAACTGGGAGAGAAGCAAGGCGGCTCCAGGCCTGTGACTTGGCCCTCAGAGCGGACGGTATTTCCCGAGCCCTCCCAGGCCTGGGACAGTGGCGGCAGCACGAAGGGGTGTCCCTTCTCCAGGGTGTCCCTTCTCCAGGGTGTCCCTTCTCCAGGGAAACTCAGCTCAAGGGAGCCCCAAGCCCAGGCCTAAGATGCTTAGAACCAGATCGCCCTGGAAGAAAAGCCACCGCCCCATCTGCCACCCCTTGGACTTCCTGGTGCCCTCGACGCGCACACAGACGACCCCCTGGGCTGTTCGCTCCGTGCTGGAACTCCCCCATTCCTTCTGGGGTTGCATCTGGAATGGACAGCATTCTGGAGCCTTGCGGGGGGGGGGGCGGCTATGGGGACAGGTGCCCTTAGGAGGTGAGCGACTTGATTAAAGAAAGCCACACAGCCGCCAAGGACGGACATCTGGACATCTGGCCTCCTGACCCGCAGGCCGGGCCCGTCCCCTGCTGCTTTCCTGGTCCTGTCGTTTGTCCTAGACGGAACCCACTGAGCAGGCACCGCCACCCCCAAATCGTCCTTTGTCGTTGTCTGATTTGCACCGTCTCCTGCCACCTCGGGGCCTCTCTGCCCGCAGCACGTGTCGACCCCATGCTTGTCCGCAGGCTCACCGGTCTGCGCTCAGGCCAGGAGGGGCCACGTCGCTGGACAGACGGTGGCCTGTGCTCCTCATCCACCTGCAGGAGCAGGTTGGAGGTGAGTGGAGGCCGCGTGGCAAGGAGTGAGCCTGAGGCAGGAGTCAAACAGCCCGGTCCCTAGGAAGACCAGAAGGCGTGACCGGACCCCAGCTGGGCGGACAGAGGCACCGGGAGCAAACGGAGTGGGCGGGGAGCAAGCGTGACACATGCTGTGTGGACATTGATCACAGTGCCCGTTTCCGTTAGGGCCGCCCATCACGAGGCTTCTTGAGAGCAGTGGATTTGTCTTAACATGTTAGAAAAACTATTTCAAAAAAATGACGCAAATTTCAAAAAACATCTTTATGGAGAGAAACAGGTTCGGATGTTTGCCGAGGCACGGCACGGCCGCAGGACATTGTCATGCCACTTCTTCGAGTCCTGGGGAGGACAAATGTCTGCTCAGTGCTGTTACCATGTGTGCTCGTCTGAAACACGCAGAGTCCCACGGTGCTCAGGTTATATAAAAAATCATATTTTTACAGGAAACATGAGTTAATCCTGAGCTCAACGGGAGGAAAACAGACAGCTAGGGGTAGTGAATCACTCATTAAAAATTAAGCGAATCCACCCACAACGGGAAACAGCGTAACAGAATGTCAGTGTTGGCTTCACGCTGGAAGGCGGCCAAAAACGAGTCTTGGAAATAGCGCTGCCTCTGAATTTGATCTTGGCCCGATTGTGTGCCTTTAGGACCCGACTCCTTCTCCGCCACGTACACTCTCCGGCCTGTCGAGGGGAGCAGAGTGGCCCTGGGGGTTTCCATGGGTTCTGCCCAGACGAAGTGCTCTGCCTTCTCAATGAATCACTTCCTCAGGTGAAACGAACCTTCGCGCACCCCCCAGAACCATCTGCTGGAACGGATCTCTGGGGGGCCAAATACCTTTGTCTTAGTAACTGTCGTTTCTGCTGACGTTTTAACATCGAAGCCCATGAAGTCCCAGCTTCTGCTTCCTGCACATAAGCAACACCACGGGAAGAAAAAGGCCGCTTTGGAAAATATTTTTCCATTAATGAAACCCTCCTTGATACGTTCCTGCTTCTTTTAGAAGGCGCCGAGGTGCTCGGAACACAGGGATTTCTGACGTCAACTCAAGACTCAGAGAAACATCGCTCCAGACCACTTGAAGAGACCTCTAAAAAATTCTCACCCGCCTTTTACTTTTCGGACGAAGGAGCTGTGACTCAGGCCATGTCTAAATCATTCAGCTTCCTACAACTCCACTCCGTCTCTGTCTGTTCCTTTCCTAGGCTCCTGCGCGGAGCGTAGGAGAAACCGCACAGTCCTGCGAGAAACCGCACGGTCCTGAGCCCGCAGGAGACAGCTGATAAACGCCGGGTGAGCAAATGGACAAACTACTGGCCGCGTCGAAAGGAAATCTGGCAAGTGTGTGAGCAGAGATTAGGAGCTGGATTCGCTCGGCAGATAACACACGGAAATAGTTCGGGACCCCGGCCAAGATCAACTCGAGTGATCAGAAAACCGGTCCAAAATGTAATTATCTACCGGCACACTGTTTACAGAATCCATGGGATATGTTCTTATTTATGAACGTGCTCTAGTCTTTGAATAATATTTTTCCATAATGGAAAATTTTATTTTCTCTTGGCAGGTCTGCGCCTTCCCTTCGGAGGTGGCGATGAGAGCTGACTGCTTTTGGGGAGCTGGGGGGACACTGGACGGTTGGGAGTCCCTTCCCGCCCTCCTGGCAGCTGCCTTCTCCAAGCCTGCCTGGGCTCTGCTTCCTCATCGTCAAGGTGGAGGTGAGCGTGCACACCGAGACCACCTCCGGGTACCCCTGAGGTCCAACGGGATAGTGAACTTGAGTGTGCTTCGTGAACTGTAAAGCGCCCTACGTGCATGGGCATTATCATAAATGCAGTTTATGTTTTCAGCATAAGGCATTTAAGTTCTGTGGCAAAACAGGAAATAGGTCAAGTCCTGTTTCTGTGACTAATAATTTCCAGCAACATGACATTTTTAAAAAATTAATTTCTCTGCACCAACACGGTAACGTGGTAGCTTTAAAAATAAAAAAAGCGTATCTATAGTGCCCGAACACAAAATTACATCATTCTAATAGCAGATCAATCTCGGTAGAGTTGCTAGAAATCCGTCAACGTATTTTTAACCAATCGTTAGAATTCAACCAGCCCCCATCATAAAATGCATGTTTTGTTTTTTGCTTACGCTCATTTCTATTAGAAATAAGGAAGGAAGCTACTCAGAGAGCCTATTATGTGACTGGTTTCTGTCTGGCAGTTCCACGGGAATCTTCCCTTGTCCCACATTTTAAACACTGGATACTAAAGTCTGCATCATAATAAATAGTCTTAAAAAGTCACTTCGAATCGGCAAGTTTTGACCAGAATGCCTCTAATCTCCTGCGGCTCCGTGTCCCAACGCGCAGGGGGACGAGCCCCAGTGGATGAGACTGAATTTGGGGGCGAGTTCCCGGAGCGAATGGGGATTGAGCCACGTGCCCCGCATTTGGGACCAGAACTCGTACCTGATTCTGTGGCCCAGTGGGTCTGAGAAATCTCTCTGTAACCTGCATACCCAACAGGTTCCAAAAACCTCTCATCCTCGCCCAGTGCGACAGTTGCCACTCCTCAGGCAGCTGGCCTGGACCCGCATGGGCGACGCCATCTATGCCTACGGGGCGCGCGCCCTGCGGGCAGGCACATTGTCCCCCGTGGCCCCCGACGTGGGCCCCTAAACACCAGCTCATTGCCTTGCTGCCCAGGGACTGCCCCCGCATTCAGCACGTCATTTTTAACTAACACGTCACTTCACAAATCTGGTCATTAAAGGACAATTAAGAGGGCGGTTTTGATGCTTAAATCGGGTGGGATTTCGATGTGTCATCCCTCCAGCCCGAGGCCCGGCGGCCCCGACGCAGACAGCTCCTCTCTCCTCGAACCCCCGGCCGGGCTGGGGTGGCCGAAAGCGGTTTCCTGAAGCGTCCACCCTGATTTCCTGCACACGGCTGGACAGAGTTAGCCGAGCTGCCTGCCAAATCCTCGTTTACTGAAAGCTTCCTGGCAATAGTCCCTCACCTAATTTTTAAATACCTTGGGCAGTTAATGCAAGCAGCCACGACGTAAATCCCACACGACAAGGAAGGGTCTCCCTGGAGCGTCCCTTTACCTCCTGTCCCATGGGAACGGCGCCCGCGAGCCATCCTGGCCTGCACGAATCCATGTTCTCCTGTCAGCTGCGAAGGGGTTTCCAGAAGAATTCTGGTCTGAACCAGGTCTGCCGGGAGCTCAGGGCTGAGATGCGAGTTTCTATAGGAAAGCTGTTCACATAGGAAAGTGGAACCTGTGACTGCTTCCCGTCCGTGCCTCTGCTACATGACAGACGGTCACCTAGCAGACTCTTTCAGGAGGTAGTTAGTTCTTGGAAGAATGTTCAGACTTTCCTCAGGGGAAAATGGAAATGGAAATAAATGAGGGGTTGACCCGTTCGTCACTGTCAGACCCAGAGGCCTGCTTCCAACTGCCTGTCAGCGTGTCACGC